AGAAGCTCTAGCAAAGAAACAAAGGGTGGTAGAACCTTCCACTTAGGCTTTGATTAAAGCAAGTTCCCGCACCTTTGGTTGATGGTCACTTAGAGCTGGTTTCTCCAACTAACTTAACGTAGTTTAGCCACTTTTGGACTTAAGTCAAAAGTTAGCCTACGTTTTACACAGCTTATTCTTGACTGAGTCGAGAAAATTGGCTTAGCTAAGTTAAGTTGAGTTGGACAAACCAGCCCATATAGTTATTTGTTGAACTGGAATAACTGATTTTGGAAAGTTTGAGTTCTTACCGCAATTAAGCAAAAGGTGATAGAACCTTCCACGTAAGCTTAAATTAAAGCTAGAACTACAGACTACCATCCCTGAAAGTACTATTCCTGCACCTTGCCCTAATGGTCACCTATACTCATTTACTTTTTATCGTCTAAAATGGTGTAAAAATCAGTGTTAGCTGTTAAATAAATGACTATGGTAATCTTATGGTCAAGGTGCAGGAATGGTATATTACCAATCAAAGTTCTAAAAAAGCGGATTTTCGGCCCACGCTAATGCGTATGCATTTGTCTGCAGATTGTAGTTCTCGCATTTGTGGATACTTATAGCGCTCTTACACGATATGTATTTGGATATGTAAATGCTATTTTTGTATCTACTCGTGTGTACCTACTAAATATACATTAGAACGTATTAGAAAAGTAGCAAAAGTATAATTTATATGAACGAACATGTGTGTTTTACTGACATAAGTGCCCACTGTCTGCTGCTTTGTTGTATTTGGCATTGTATTTCTTGCATGCTACCATTACTCTGACCTGCTTTCCCATAAGCTTGACCTATATTATGCGATGTTAATTGGGTCGACCTACATTAATATTATCTATGTATATATATAATACGCGAAGACATTTTTTGTGCAGCATAAAAGATCTGCACCGTTCGTTCGATTTTCAAAAAATGGGGTGTCAAATTAAAGCGCTTGGCCTGTAGATGTTCAAACTGGTTTTATTTTTTCGAAAGGAGTTGCCACCTGTTAAGTAATTAAACTCAAATTATTTACTAATCAATGCCCTCAGATCCGCACCGTCCGTTCGATTTTCAAAAGTGGGGTACCAAATTAAAGGGCTTAGGGTGTGGATGTTCAAGAAGGTTCTACTTTTTCGAAAAAAGTTGCCACCTATTAAGATATTAAGCTCAAATTAATTAAAAAGTTAAATCAATTATTAAATATTGGTATCAATCGAAATGGTTTTGAAAAGGCTTTATAACTTAACTACGTGTAGGAGGGTTACCACATGTTAAAAAAAAATTAATTAAATTGTAATTAAAGGAATTTGGTAAGTGAATAAGGTATCACTATATGGGTGTCATACAAAAGAGGTTTAAGGAAATAGTAGTTTGGAAATATTTTGAATAGGGTTGCCACCTATTTGAGAAGCCTAATTGAACTATTTTATACCCAAGTTATTATTAGGGGGATCACAACGGTGTCGTAAGTGTCGCATTGTTGTATGTCGTAAACTTTAAAAGCATAAATAAATGTTTAGAGAACTTGAAACCACAACCAACTATTTTTTCACCACTGCGAAAATTCAAAATATGACTTTGATGGTACTTTGCGAAGCCCCTTAATATATTTTTTAGGCGTTTAAAGTTTACGACATACAACAATACGACACTTACGGCACCGTTGTGAATACCCCAACTTAGTTTGACAACTTAGAACATTTTTGATGAGTTTGAGGGTTGCCCCAGTTTAAAGGGTTAAACTAAAATTATTTAATAAGTTAAATGAATTACCAACCGATGTTTATCATTGGAAATGGATTTAAAACCCTTAATTTAAGAACTATATTTAGGAGGATCGCCACGTGTTTAAAAAATAAATTTCCACTTAATTCATCAGTTACTTGAAATATTTATGATAATGTTACACGAAAAATATTTAAGGAACTTTTAGTTCGAAAATAATTTTTAAGATTGTTGCCGCCTGATTTGAAAGTGGTATTTCGTTTAGTTATACATAAATACATGAAATTTTTTAAATATGGTTATCAAGAGAACGAGCGTTAAGAAATCTTTAGATTGAGCATTTGTTTTTTTTTTTTGTTGAAAAAATTAAGCTCAAATTATTTAATAAGTTAAATGGATTGTCAAAAGATGGATATCAATCGAAATGGGTTTGAAAATAATTTATTTCTAAACTGTATTTAGGAGAGTTGCCATGTGCTTAAAAAAATTAAATTCAACTTAATTCATCTGTTAATTGAAAAATGTATAACAATGCCAGGCGAAAGATTTTAGTTTGAAAATACTTTTAAAGGGGTTGTATCTGCACCGTTATTTCGAATTTCCAAAATGAGAAGTCAAATTAAAGAACTGGGATTCTACATAGATGTTCACAGGTTTTATTTTTTGAAGTTACAGTGAGATTTGAAATTTGATAAAATGAAAACCGATACCATGCGAGAACTCTCATCACTGAGAAATGGTTTAGATTAATCATTAGGAATATTTTTAGAGATTTTTGAATAGGGTTTCACCTGTTTAAAAATTTAATTAAATGTTGGCGTTTTGACGCCATGAGGGTTCACTAGTTATTATAATTTTTTGAAGTTAGAATAGGTAATAAACGAATGGATAAAACAGCTCTAATATTAAATAAAATTATAATATTAAATAAAATTGTGGCTACATGATATAATAATAATAATAATAATAATAATATCCCAACGGTTTTTACCCTCCATTCCCGCCCATCCGCACGAGGGGCGCAGTCCGCATGACGTACGGAACCAGTATTTTCAATTTTTGCGCCGAGTCACGACGATAGGCAGGAGTTTGTTAAGTGTCGAGATCTAAAACTGTTCAGCTACAGAACTAAATTCATCAGCCGATTTTATGTCTTTATTTTAATGATTCATTTATTGAGAGAGGACAGTATCGATTTCTTAATGCTGAAAAGCGGATCTGATATATCAAACGTGCTGGAATGAGAGTTAAAATCCTGGCATAAGCAACGGAGTGGGTCGTGCAATTCAAAATTAGTTTTACAAGCTTTCAGAAATAGGGGGCAAACGTGTCTCGATACCCGGGAGGGAACATTAAGGCTAACTTCGCCAAGAAGAAGCGGACTTGAAATTGAACCTGTTAGTAATTTAACTATAAAAATTGTACCAAGCATTTGCCTGCGGCTGGAAAGTGTAGGAAGATTAATAATAGCGTTTTCTTTTCTGGAAATAATGTTGCATTCATTCAGCCCTGCATCAGGGCTGTCAAACTTTCGAGTTCCTTTCTCAATATCTTCACATGCATATTGCGTTCTCTTTCTTTAAAATGTTGCACCCTGATAAAGTTGCCATATAAGAAGGTGACATTTTTTTCGAGAAAAGAAAACGCCATAAGTTTTAATCGGCTCGTATAATGATATATGATACATACTATCTGATATATCCATACAAACTATCTGACCATATAGTTAAATATACATACATATGAATCCAAAAAATGCTATGGGGATATATTCAAAATAATTAGTATTAAGAAATGTTAAAAACAGTTGTATGCGTTTTTTGCCGTATAAAATAGATGACTTCATGGGATTTGAGGGTAGTTCTAAATATATGAGATGATGACGGATGAGAACAAAAATTATCTTAGCTTTTGTCGCTTTTGCGAGATCTCGTTCTGTTCATGATTGAAAGGATATCGTGCTGTTGTCATGGTTTTCCGACACGTAGACATACATACTATGTACTTAATTTCCTAATTTATGCATAACACTCCGAATCATCTGCACTATTCTAGTAACTGTTGCGATAGCGAACGTTTATTCAATCCATTACTTAGCTGGTATTAAGAATGAAAGTAACTATCCCCGATACTTTGGCATTGAAATCACCTCTGGCTCGGACCATTGATTTTTAATTTCCCATCAAAATCCCATTTTTTTTCTAATAAATGCACATAAGAAATTGTCAATAGTTTACTCTATTTAGAGGCCTGTTCAAAAATTTCAAAATTTAACTAACTAAAGCTGAAACAGGAACTTTAGTGACCCGTCAAAAATTATTGTTACCAGCACAGAATAGACCTGTTTATAGCTTTTATAAATTTTTCGCTGATGTAGTTATTAGTTTTTACAAAATAAAATTGGTAAAACGCTTGTGTGCTATTCAATTACTCAATACTTAACTTTGATTTATTTGCTCCCTCCATCCGTCAAGTTTGATAAATTAGTAATTGATGTTGTTATTTAATTAATACTAATTATCAATTATTTGCCTCGCCTTAGCGGAAAATTTAACGGTCAATAAAGTTATCAGATTAGTGATAGTGAGTGTGTGTATATATTTGCCATGGGCCTTGACCGTCACAGCGCGTGATAATCACAAATCATTTACGTAAATGACATTATTTCCTCTTATTGTTTATAAAATTATTTACTTAATTAATCATTTCTTTGATAGCTCGTAAGTTATATGACTTTGCTAATTATAAAATGGNCTAAAATTTAAACCAGAATATATTCAAAATTGCGTGAAACTATTGACTGGTTTAAAAAGTAGACTATAAAAGTTTAAAAAAGGCAGTAGTCCCAGCGCGGTTTAAAAATTAAACCCAAATTTTTGACCGTGTAATTAATAGCAGAACTTTAACCTCATAAATATTTGAAATTCAAATCGCAAAAGTATTTCTGCGATAAGAAGCTATTTCATTGTTTTTAAATAGGCAATTGCATACCCTGCAAGAAAATTGTATAGTACTAGCAGTTGCACTTCTTCCGCCAGTGTTGAGAACTCGATGTAGGCCCGGCAATTAGAGAGTAAAATAAACATTTTGTAGTGCAGCGGTGCAATTTAAGGAACAGCTAATTTTTATATTTAATTGTTAGTTTGAAGTTTTTGTTTGTTCCAATCTACTCACTCTATTTTGTAATTTCTTCAATGAACTATTTTTACTTACATACATATATTATGTACCAATGCTCTCTTTCGTTACAGAAACCACAATGGAGCGCCCTGATAGCGTTGGTGGGCTTTGCCGCCACACTCGGCTCTGCAGTTCCAGTTGGTTACTGTATCGGTGTTATCAACGCACCGGCAACGGTAAGTTCATGTGTGGTATGTTTATGATTAGCATGCGCACATTTCTGTTTATTAAATGCCTTCATTTCGATTATCTACTTATTTATGGTTTTATTATTTTTTATTTTTTATTTTTGTATAGATTATAAAGGCGTGGTGTAATGAAACACTGCATGCGCGTTATGGTGCTAATCTAAGTGCTTCCAGTTTAGAACTGCTATGGTCATCGGTGGTATCGATTTTTCTAATAGGCGGAGCTATCGGCTCGCTTGGAGGGGCTAATGCAGCCAATAAATTCGGCAGGTTAGTTACTAACCTACAGTTTTAATTTCTACTTAAAACTTTTAGGATATTTTTTACCGATGCGCAGATAAGTATTTGCGTAGTAAAACTGGTCAAAATTATTTGGTGTTAAATAATAAAATAAAACACGCAACTTATCTCAGAATCATTTTTGTGACGTATTTATACAATCAGCAAAGCTTTCTTCAGAAACAGGCAGAGTGGCATTTATATTTCTAGGTCATATTTAGACCGATGAGTCGAGAAATGGCCTCCGTTTTTCAGATTGACTTTCGTTGCGAATAATTAATTTTTGTTTGCTGAAATGTTGATGCTTTTCTAACTTCAATTAAATAAATAACCGAAAAATATAAGAAAAATAATGCGGTAATGTGTGCTAAGCACATTATGTTCTCGTCCAAGCTGGGTGAGTTTCATAGTCCTTTAAAGCATCTTTAAAAAATGTTTTGCCTATATTTCTTTTGTTTATTTAATACAGGGACGGAAAGTAATCATTATTTTTTAAATTTTAGCCAAAAAAATTAACAAGTTAAATAATTTTAACTATACTCGCGTATTTGTGTTCATACGTCCTACTGCAATTTACGATGATTTTTATTTTTCGAGTTTAACGAATAAAAATTAAAAATAATTATTAATATTTCAGTTTTATTTTGTCGCTGAAAAATAATTGATTTTTATTTTTTTCGATCAATAATAATGAATATTTTATGATTTTTATTTTTTCACTCAAAGATAATAATTATTATTGAGTTTTATTTTTTCACTTGAGAATAATGATCATTAAAAAAACTCAAAGGCTATACCAGCGTGATTTCTGTCATATCCTTTTTTCAGATCTAGTGGCACCCTAATAAAAGGAATAAGTCCCAAAATTTTCAAGCCAAAATTTCAGTAAGTTACGTCTTTATGGCCTTTTAAATTTTATAAATAATCATTTTATTTAAGTGGAAAAATAAAACTCAATAATAATTATTATCCTTGAGTGAATAAATAAAAATCATAAAATAACCATTATTATTGATCGAAGAAATAAAAATTAAGTAATAATCATTTCCGTTGAGCGAAAAAATAAAAATCAGTAATAATTATAATTTTTGAGCGAAAAAATAAAAATCATAAAATAATGATTAAATGCTGATTTAAATTATATTACTCATAATGATTACCGTCCCTGATTTAATATGTTATAAAAAAGTATAGTTCATTTTCTAAGAAATTCATATTTCAAACTTTTTGCAAAAATTATAAAAATTCTGCAAAATCGCATCTAAATTTTAGACTTTTTAATCATATTTTTAAATTTGTTTTGAGTATGCAGTTTTATAACCTATTAAATTTTAGTAAAACTAGTTGGTACAAAATAGCCTTGATTTTTGGATACCTATTTCCATTCAGTCACCAAAAAAAGTTTCAAAAAACCTTAACATGCGCTTTATTAAGCTTGAACTTTTTGCAGAATTTTTATTATTTTTGCACAATTATTTTATATGGCTTTCGTTGGATAATAGAAAAAATTTGTTAAAATGTCGCGTCCTTATATATTTTTCCGCCACTGTGTGTATATGCATACATTTGTAGCATTTTGTGATAACTATAATAATAATTTTATCTACCGATCACCTCTGCAGGTGGGTTCACATCAGTCAGTACTCCCGCCACCAAAGAAAGACTTTCGGACAGCCTACCATTTCCGTTGCTGCTGATAGGCACCATCTCTGATTAACACTAATTATTCGTTAAATACTAATATTTAAATTTATAAAAATTTATGCAGAATGAAATGCACAAATTGAATCGAAAGAAGTTTCCCTTGCTTAGTGTGGCCCAAGCGCCAGAACTCTGAATTGTTTGCTGTTTGTTTGATTTAGTTTTATGATATTTCATCGAATTTACAAACTCTATGAATTTTTTAGATTTTATATTTCGTATTTATGTATGTACATTAGACTGCATCACCAAAAAAAGTTGCGGTTTTTCCGGCGGGATTACAAAATTTATTATATTTTAAGACGTTCACCAAAATATTTGGGAAAAATATTAAGATTTAAGTGAGCTGGACCGAATTGAAAATACCTCCAAAAATGGAGTGTTTTATGAATAAAAATAGTTTTGTAAAGAACTTTTTGAGATCACGCTTAAAAAATCTGCATAAAAAATTTTAAAATCTTTTCAACGGAATTGTAAGAATGAGATTTTTGATGCTGTTTTTTTTTACTTTTTTCAAAGATTGATTTACGAAAAACTTAAATAACTGGGCCAAAACTTCATTCCGATTCCGTTCAATTTTTTTTTTTAATATTTTTATGCAAATTTTTTAAGATTAAACGGTTTTGTCATTTGAGGGGATTTTTTCAAAAATAAAATTTAAGAAACTATTTTTATTCATAAAAAACTCCATTTTTGAAGGTATTTTGAAATTGGTCCAGCTAACTTAAATCTTAATATTTTTTCGAAATATTTTGGTGGACTTCTTAAAATATAATAGATTTTATAATTCCAATGGAAAAATAGTACCGATTTTTTTTTTTTTGTATGGGGAGTGATGCAGTCTAATGTATATACATATGTATGCACTTCTATTCAATTTCAGAAAAGCTTGCTTTCTCATCAGTGGCGGCCTATTCACGTTTGGAGCGATTCTCTTTTTCTTCTGCCACGCTGCCGGCTCTGTGGAAATGCTCTTACTTGGCCGTTTGATAGTCGGTCTCGCTTCTGGCCTAACAACAGCCATATTGCCGATGTACCTCACCGAAATTGCGCCACTTCCACTGCGTGGCACATTTGGCGTCTTTTGCGCCATTGGTGTGACTGGTGGTGTCGTGGTGGGGCAAGTATTTAGTTTGCGTTATATCTTCGGTACGGAGGAGCTGTGGCACTATGCCTTAAGCTTTTACATCCTGTTGGTGGCAGTATGCTACCTACCGGCATACTACTTTCCGGAGAGTCCGAAATATCTTTACATTGTACGTGGCGATCACGAGCTGGCTCACAGTGAACTACGTCGCCTATGTAAGGGACCCAATGCATTGGTTTTGATCAATCATGAAATCGATGAGATGGAAGCCGAAGCGAATACTAAAGTGCAAACACGCAGCTTCTTTTCGGTGCTACGTGATCCGTCCCTGCTGCTGCCTTTGATAATTGTCTGCGCATTTCAAGGCGGTCAACAGTTGTCTGGCATCAATGCGGTAAGGGAACTTAAATATACATAATTCCTCGTATTAGAAAGGCAATGCTAATTTTATACTTTAACAGATCTTCTACTATTCTGTATCAATTTTTGAGAAAGCTGGACTTTCCACAGCCGATGCGGAATGGGCGAATTTGGGCGCCGGTTGCCTTAATTTGTGTGTGTCCCTAATGGGTCCATTGTTGATGTCAAAGTTCAATCGTCGTCCGTTGATGTTGTTCTCCAGCGCTATTTGTGCAGGCTTCCTTTTTACGATCGCTTTTGTTTTGTACTATATCGTGAGTTTTTGGTTGCTGGCATCAGTTTTTTGTTTGTTTTTAAACTAATTTTGGAATGATTTCATTGCAGGATACATCCAGCTTGTTCCCGATGTTCTGTATTGTTTGCGTTATGGGCTACATTTTCTTCTATCAGTTCGGCTTGGGTCCCATACCATACTTCATTGGTTCAGGTGTGTACGATGACAATTTAATTAACTGTAAGACTTAACGTATGTAAGTACATACATATATACATAAATCCCCAGACCCGACGAGAGGGGGTGAGGGCTGTTTCTCCCCGGGCCCAGAGTTTTCAGAGGCCCCATTTTTCCGAAAATTAAGTTGGAATATACAACAAACTATAGAATGTGCGAAAATGCTGTTTTAATTACGATACCTTGCGCATGCGTTTAGAGTGATACGCAAGTGGCAAAACGTTAAATTTCTAGTCTTAATAGAAGCAGAGGATACTGGCTTTAACAGAGTGTCGAATCTCATACTTTTACCTAATGACAACAACATTTTTTACAGCCGTTTTTTTTGCTCTCCTGAAAAATACCCATTTTCACGTTCGATAGTTTGACATGGTAGCGAGGATATGTATTTAGTATGTTTTATATTGCCAGTTCTATTCTCAGGTACATGTGTATGCACAAATGTGTATTGTATACCAATTTTAATCTCAAAGGCCGCATCAATCACTGGTACAGTGTGATATGATTCCTAGTCATGATATCTACATCTTTACTGCCAGCCAGGCGGCAACTAAATCTCTAGGAAATATGTCGCTGACTTCACAAGTAGCTGCTCAATGCCGCCGATCTCTCAACGAGTTGGCTGAGACATTCAGTGCAGACGTTGTCTGGGTACCTGGCCATTGCCACATTCAGGTAAACTGCAAGGCTGACGCACTTGCGCGTCATGGAACGACTTTGCCTGATACAGACATAAGGGATACCCCTCGGCATCCCTTTTCAAACGTGCTAATTTCTACTGATTGAAAAATTCTTAGAAACTGGCAATGAAAGATGGCGAATAGAACCGACCTGTCACATTGGCAAAACACTCTGGCCAGCCACAAACGCTCAACGCACCAAGTGCTTTACAGGGGAATGGGGATAATTAAAAAACCTCATGCGGTATCACAAAGGACCCTGAGTCTAAGTGAGTGCTACTCTGGGCTGCCGCCCAATCCAACTTAACCTACATATGTACATACATATGTATGTCTATTTCAGTGATGGGAAGCACAGGCAAAACTTCTGCTCTTGCTTATGGAGTTCTGCCAACGCTGCTCATGCTTGGTATATTTACGAAATCGTTTAATTGTGCCCTAAGACTTATGGAAATTGGTTTATTCGCTAATTGCTGGTGTTACATATGTAGCCAGTAATGAAATGAAACTGTTGACCTAAGACTGCGCCATCTGAGACTATTTATTAAGTTTATTTCTTTAATTGAATTCAATTGAATCGCAGGCTTTATTTTCACAGCCTTTCTGTTCACGTGATTGCGGCTTGAAGAATCAACACACATACATATACATATGTACATATTTGTTTTGCAAGTGACACGTTGTCAACATTTCTGCGGCGGCGTCCAACGAAAGTCACGTTTTATTTTTAGCCGCTCATATGTGTTTTGTGTATTTAAAGCGCTGCGCTGCAGAGGCATTGGCCTCCCCAACTGTGGAAATTTGATTCGATTTTGTTTGAATTGCGAGTCATTATTAACGCCTGGGCTGTCTGTCGCCCGTCGCAGTTATTTGAAATGCGCAATTATCAGATTGCTGGCCGTCTGCCACATTCTAACAAAGATTCATTTATTTAAGGCGTGCACATAAATAGTTATTCATACATATGTACATACGAATATTTACATACATATGTACTATATAAGCACGTTTGTTTTCCTAATACTGGTAGTAAAAACTTCGACTAAACAGTTGTCTGATATTTTACCATGATATTTACTACTTTGATCAGTCCAATCACGTCAGCTATACTGATATCTCTACTCTCTGCAATCTTTGGATTACAGCATTGAATCTCGTAAATAAAAAATGCCAAAGAATCTGCATGAATGTGTGAGCAAACAATAAATTCTTGTGGCATAGTTTTAGGCACAATCCATAGTCAATAACTGAATTACTTTGAATTATTAGGCCGTATAGTTGTTTTCGTACTAATCGAAATAGAATTTCTAAACAAAAACTTCAAATTTTCGATTCATACGGAAACAAGAATTCGGCCCTTTATCAAAAATACGAGTAAAATTTAGAAGGCTTTAGATATTTAAATAACATTACATAAATAAATATGCACTTATCTGAATTTATATTTTAAAATTCGAGTGCACCTAGTCTAAATCCAGTGCTGAACACTATGGGCAGGTTTCTCCAACTCAACAAATCGCTAGCTTAGAGTGAAATGTTGCTTAGTCCACTTTTTATGAACAATTCGTTTTTGATGCAGGAAGCAAGGAATATTGAAAATGCACCGTTTCTGAAAGGATCTAACTACTTGTTTTATTTCTACCCGTTTTATTTCGTGATGTGCAAAATTGCTAAGTCGAAAGTAGTCACAGAAAATTTGATAAGTCCAAAAAAATATGAATGAATATTTTTTTTTTACGCTATCGAATTCGATTTGTATTGAGGGTTTTGCAACAACATTATTTTTAAATATTTATGTACATATGTATGTTTGTATATTAGGCAGGGTCGATTTTGTATGAGGGAAAATAAAAGGCATTTGACCGTATTGTAATAGTAATATTATGATGTCTAAGGTCTAAGCCAATTGTTATTGGTCAAGAAAGATTAATTTGAAACTTATATTTAGCCCGCGCAATTGAATCAAAGTATGAACTTTGAAAATGAAACTTTGGCTTGTAATATCTATGGAATGCGTTAATTGTTATAAACAGGACGATATATCAAATTAAGGGTTATTAAATTTAGTAATCGTTTGACAAGTTAATAGTAGTTGCAAGCATAAATATAAGTATTTGCATACATTAACATAATACAATTAGGGCCCATTTTAAGTCCATTTTTCGTAGTTTATTAATTTGCCGTTATATGAAAGTAGGGGACGTGCAACACGTGTACATAAATATTTTAGTTAATTCCATTATGTGAAAAAGTAACTGTAGGTAGGTGCAATGCAATAGTCTTTAACATATCCTGGAAAATCTTTTTGAGGACTCTCCAACTGGACGATATTGCTTTGCATTCAGCTTAAACGAAAAAAGTCACTCCCTGGCATACTTTTCTGTAATCCGGTTCTTTCATTTAAAGGTTATTTATAAAATTGAAGAGATTTTTTTTTTAGAAAAAAACTGGAGATCCCCTTAAGTTTTTCGATATAACTTTGGTAAATGTTACTCGATCGGCACGTAATAATTACCAAATTGAAGGCGAGACTTGCTGTTACAGATTTATGATAATAATATGTTGAAAATCATTCAGATTATAAACAAACTAGTAATAACCCCCTCGAAATTCGGGTGAATGCATTAAAGAAATACTTGCAGATACTAAGTATTTAAACTTAAGTAAAAAATAAAACGTGATGTTCATGAATATACCTCAGTATTTAGCTCAAAATTTATTTAAAGAACTTCGCTAAAGACAACAATTAATCTTGTATTGCTAGAGACCTGATAACCCAAGATAATATTAAAGGGCCTTACTCTACTCATAGCTTCTACAGTGGCCCGCGAGAAAACAGTAATTTTTAAGGTATAGTCCAACCTTTCACAATATCCGACCAAGGGCTTTATTAGCCGTATTCTGAGACGCAATAATCTTTTAAAATTGTCGCCGTTTCATGGTGAAAGGCATTTGGTATCACGCTTTTAAACTAAAGCTTTCTTAACACTTTCAGTACAAAAATTCGACTACTGATTCTACAAATTTTAATATACATAAATATGTATACCGGCTAATTTGGATCATTCATTTCAAAAATCACATCAAAAAATTTTTAGAATTTTGAATTTTACCGTCATCCTTGGCCCTTTAAATTTGTCAGTGATATTCTAGGTGTTTAAAAAAGAAAGTGATCTAAGCTATTTTTTTTTTTTGCTTTCGGTTAATATTTTGCTAAAGGTGATATTAGGCTTAATTGAATTGATGGTCACTTATAGTAATCAGCAGAAAAAAGTCTATCAAAAACAGCTTTAACATTTGATGCAACAAAATCACTGTTCCCTTGTGTTATTATTATTTTTAAAAGAACCTAAACAATTTGTTCTAACAAATTGTTTCTTAAAATGTACCTACGAGATGGATTTTTCGTATTGTACATATTGGAAAAATTCATGGCAAATTTGCTAAGTCCAACAAAAAAATTTTAAGAAAGAAGTAGAAAATTTGCTAAGTCACAAAATTATCTACAAAATTTGTAAAAAAGCAGGCTTTTTTATTATTANGTACCTACGAGATGGATTTTTCGTATTGTACATATTGGAAAAATTCATGGCAAATTTGCTAAGTCCAACAAAAAAATTTTAAGAAAGAAGTAGAAAATTTGCTAAGTCACAAAATTATCTACAAAATTTGTAAAAAAGCAGGCTTTTTTATTATTATTTTTTTAATAAAGGGTAAATGAAAAACGCGAAACATTGCATTCAAAGTTTTGCCAAATACTTAAAGAAAATTACTTAGCAACGTTTTTTGTGTCTCATGTACAATTGAAAAAAATGGACCTAGCAACTTTGCACTCTAAGCTAGCGATATGTAACTTAGTCAAGCCATTTTTTGGACTTAAGTCAAAAGTTAGCCTACTTTTTATTCAGCCTCTTCTTAGCTAAGCCCGAAAAATTGGCTAAAATCAGTTAAGTTGATTTGGAGAAACCATAAATCCAAATTTCAAACTTTGTACAAAAATTATAAAAAGTCAAAAAATTTTCACGAAAATTTAAAATTTCTTATACAGGATTTTTCGAAAATTTTTTGGTATGCATTTTTATACCACATTCCAAGGCACATTAAACAGGTAGTATCAGTAGAGCAAAAACAACATTTGCGTGTATTTTGTTGTTGCTTCTGGTATCGAAAGTGTCAAAAACTGTTCTGAATTTTTTCTTCTAAATCAAAGCGTGCCATGTGAAATACAAAAAATTATAAAAAATAAAAAATTGAAATTGGAAAAAATAAAAATTGTTGCAACTTTCTTTCCTAGTAAATTTGTTTGCTTCTCGAAGCATTGATCCATCCTTTGCAAGGGCCAGTAATCAGCGGTCGTGCTGCCGAGTTGGGCGAACGTTCCAAAAGCTGCTATTCAATCGCTTGTTTTGTATGGAAAAAGGTTTCACAAGCAAATGGATTTTAACAACTTATAATTTTCGTGAGAAAAAATTAAAAATATTTGACATTTTCGAGACCAAATAATTTGAAAATAAATCAAATCAGCTGCTCTACTGATACTACCTGTTCAATGTACCTTGGCACATTCACATTTTTTAAAAAAAGAGAAAAGTAGCCAAAAGTAGGAAAGCTTTTAAAATTTTGATTATAAAATAAGAGTTATAAATATTTAAAATAGTTTTGGATGATTTTAGATATGTTCTTTGCCTTAATAAATCTGAATTTCATATAAAATTACTAATGCAAATATTATTGGGAAAAGACGTGTCTTCTTATTTTCCATAACCTGTCAGAAAAATACTATGCCATGAAGTATCAGATGTCGAAATTCCCGAAATAATGGCAACTTTTTTCTTGACCGTTTCCTTGAGAGCTGTATACTGGCCTATACGAATAAACCGCGAACTTTGAACGCATTGGAAAACAACTTTGTTCAAGCAATTTCCGAGATACGGCGAAAAATTGGACTTTCACATCCACATGGACCACATCCGAGCCGGTCCAGCACCCACAAAGCCGAAGTTATATACAAATACTAATGATATAAAATTATCTTTCTAATAATGTTAGCTTTCAGTTATATATGTATGTAAAATAAAATATAATTGGGGAATTCATCTAAACGCGTAAATGCCTCGTAACCATGCAAACCTCGTAAACTTACTAAATTTTGTATGGAAACCCGGTTTATTAACGAAGTTTACACAGTTACGAGCCATTTACGCGTTTAGATGAATACCCTGAATATGCTTCTAGCTACATATGTACATACATAGATATTCTTCAAAAGTGTATTAACCCAAAACATAGTACATATGTGCTAAAATGTTTACAGTTCATAAATTTAATAATAATGCATATGTTAGTGTTTGGCCGAGCTTCACCTCCGATTTGTGGTGTACGCCTTGATGTTGCCACGCAAAGGGAAAGGAGTGGCAGAAATACACTCGGAGGTTTGCCATTGCCTGCCGAGGGGCGACCGCTGTTAAGAAAAAACCCTTTTTCTATATTTTTTTTGCAAGTATCTGACCAGGGCTTGAACCCAGGCCCTGCGGAGTGGAAGCGCACACTGCTTACCACTACACCACAGCGGCCGCCAGTTCATAAAATTACACTCCAACATTTTTTTTTTTATTTATTGCAAAAGCCGCTCTTGTTCATACGATTAACTCTTGCTAAGAAGCATTTTTTTTGCGTTTTCTGACAAATGATAAAATTTGAGTCAATACAATTAAAAAAAAAAACAAAAACGTACGCGGTACGAATCTCTGGCATTCTACTACTGAACTTGTGCGCGCCACAATTGAATTTAATTAAGTTTTAAACGCATCACACTGCAAGCTTAATTGAGAATAATCTACAACGACTGGCAATTTATCTCCAAGAATAGCTCAAAGATTTATTTATACACAACAAAGCCATACCCAAGCGTTAAATGAATGACCTTTGCTTAGAAGTGATATGTTCGCATGATTGCCACATATTTTAAGGAAGCGAAGCAAATTGCCCGTTAAATGGGTAACATTTCTAGGTCAGTAGCACTAAACATTTCTTATATCTCTGCAGTAGAGGCAATCGTGGCTGCTATCCGGTGGCAATGAAACGACATTATTGCCTAGGCATTTTATTCCAGTAATTCCCGCCTCAATCTACACTGTATCATACAAGCACCCATTTCTTTTAAGCCCGCAGTTGGCCGTAAGAGTCTCACCGCGGATAAAGACATTAAGGGGTGATTTCTCCAACTCAACTTAACTTAGTTTAGCCAATTTTTTTGGACTTAGTCAAGAACAAGCTGTGTAAAAGGTAGGCTAACTTTTGACTTAAGTCCAAAAATGGCTTAAGTAAGTTAAGTTGAGTTGGAGAAACCAGCCTAAGTGACGATAGGTTTAGCTGTGCATTCAGAGCATCATCAAGTGTTGTAGGGAAAACTCCGGGTCAGCACACTGGGATCGATCTTTGAAGTTTGGTAAACAGATTTCCGATGGTATTGATTGATGCAGAGATGATAATGGTTCTAACCGTATGCGCGCGCTTGCGATTTACGCATAGAAGTCATATGAAAAGTGCGAAATTTTTATGAAAGTTTGTTGAATTTTTCTAAACTTTATATTAATTTGAAACTTTTCTTTAATATTTTCGTTAAAAGGCTGTTCGCAGCTCTCAAACAAAAAAACAAAAGAAATAAAACAAATATTTTTCAAGATTTCCATTGCTGGAAAAAGTACTATTTTTTTGCTGTAAATTTTCTTAAAGAAATAAATATACGAGGACTTTTTTCTCGAGCGATGCAAACAGATTTAAGAAACTTTGTTAGAAAAAATGTATTTGAATGTATATTGTATTATTGTATTGTATATGAACATTACGTTTTTCTTGAGAGCTGCAAACAGCCCTTAAAGTATAAACAACATTTTTATAAAAAATTAACAAATTTAACCCTGAATTGTGAAAATTAAAAAAAAATACTAAGTGGACGCTTGTTTGAGTCAAATATCTGATTAACAATAAAAAGTTCGAATATCCGGATCAAAAACTTAACGGATACTTATCGGATATCCGGCTAGTAAAATTAACGCATATTAACCAGATTATCCGGATAACAAAATAGAACGTATATTAACCGGATAACCGAGTACCCGAGTACACGGATGGTCCCCGCCAAATGGCCAAAAATGGAAAAAAATTTTTGTGCTGATAACGGGATATTCGAAAGTTCTAACTTTAATTTAAGGGAAAGGTTCTAACTTTAACTTTAAAATTTTCGTTATATATATATAAAATAGTGCCCTGAAATGCCAGCTTAATAGGGTCGAAAATCAGTGTTGCCCTGTGTTATTATTACAATCACAATAAATATGTAGGATTATGTAATTGTTCTCGTCTTTTCTTCTTCCAGAACTCTTTGAAGTCGCTCCCCGATCGGTGGCCATGTCGATGGGCAGCTTGTCGTCTTGGGTTTGTAATTTCACAGTCGGCATGGCATTTCCATCGCTACAGAATCTATGGGGTGCTTTCGTTTTCTTGCCATTCTCTGTAGCGTGTTTACTGCTCTTCCTGTTGACGAAATTCTATTTGCCAGAGACGCGTGGTCGTGATCCGTCTGAAGTGGCGCCACTTGTTGCCAAAGGTTTCCGCTCGAAGGTGAAGTAAATCATGAGTGCAGCAACCATGACAAAGTGATAAATCAATCGATATGTGTGTAAGGTTATGGTTAATAAGTTATACAGTGTTTATATTTTTTTTTAATTACAAATGACATTGATTTATTTAACATGTACGCACAATTACTTTTAGATTAAATTTTTTAATTTTTAAAATTGTTTAAATTTAAGTTATCTAAAATTTGTTTAAAAGCCTTATCCTTAAGGAAAAAGAAAATAGCAGAAACTAATTGGCTACGGCGACTGCATGCAACTATAAAACATGAAGCTATGTATGTATGCACCTGCGCTAGTGCAAGGGAAAATATATGAAAATATAAAATATCTGTTGACTTTCAATCCTATGAATGCAAAACTGTAAATGAAAAGTTTATACGTATGTATGTATACACAGATATGTATGTACATACTAATAAAACCTTGTATATGTACATATGTATACTAGTATGACTGTTCCGTCAAAAATGAAAAAATTAACAGTGTTCCATAAAAATGCAACTCAACTACCTTAATAAAAACTATTTACTCAAGACAAATATAGTTTGTATAAAAATGGTTGTTTTTCTTTAATGTACAATGCATAATTTGGGTTTGAGAAGAGCCGCAGCACATGATACAAAGGTGTATAATAGTATGTCACCTTGATGACAAGGTATTAGCAAATTGCTACCATTTGGAAGCTACATAAATAAGTTAGTGAGAGTGAAGGATAAAGTTGACACGTGAGAAGCGCAAATGCTTTAACACTTGTATTCACAATTTTCCTCCATACATACATACATATACAAAAATGTTCAAACATATGAGCGAAACTCACGAGTGGTTTTTTTTTTTAATGTCACTCCCTTCTCTCGCCAGAATAAAACGGTAAAGCATTCTTCCTGCATTTATTACATACAAATAAACAAAAAATCAAGTATTTGAACAAGTTTAGCCTTAAAACGTTTTTTAAGTGAAAAAATTGCGAAATTATTCATTTTTTCATTGCCACTCGAAAAAATCATAATTGTTTTTGTTTAATAAATTTGTAAAGTCTTCAAATCGATGGCTGAGTGGAAGACCGACCTATCTCGGCTGCCAGTTCGAAAACGCCCTATCTCAAAAAACTTTTCAAGAACGCCCTATTTCAGAATTTTATTCGAAATTCGGTTCAAAAACGCCCTATCTCACTTCAAAATGTATTGAAAATATGCTAATATAGGGCGTTTTTGAATCGGCAGCTGAGATAGGGCGTCTTTGAAACGAATTCTGAAATAGGGCGTTCTTTAAAAGTTTTTTAAGATAGAGCGTTTTCGAACTGGCTGCCGAGATAGGTCGATCTTCCACTCAGCCATCGAAATAGAATGTTCATATAAAATTTAGGTTATCGGCAGAGCGTATGAGTAACCTCTTTATTTTCGAGGCTCAAAATACCCTGTGGGGAAAATTTCTAGTTCTGAACTGGTGCGCTTCTAGTACATTTAGACCCAGTACTGGTTCGCGATAAATCTCTTTTGCATGCAAGCAACTGGCGATTTTAACATGGCGATGTCCTAGGAAGTGTCAATTGCGTTTGCATCTTTGTGCCCAAAAAGGAACTAGTCCGATAGGAACTAGCTCCCCACCAGGCCAAAATCGGCGAAAAATGGTACTTTTGAAAAACTAATTTTTTCCAATTTTTTCACTAGAATCTATATCTAAAGTGACGAATTTAGAAATGGTTCGGAACTATAGACAAAGTGATTCAGAATGAACTAGATCTTATTTGTCGAATTTAGAACCAGTTCGGAACTATCGAATAAGGGATGCAGCGAGGGGCTTGTTTACTTTACATAGATATGTGTTCGGCGGCTTTTTCGTTCAAATACGCTTCTATTCTGTGCTTCGCAGATGCTTGGTAATACAAAACTAAAATTTGTGTTAACATTTCAACATCTTGGGACCGTCTGGAATATAAGCTCACTCAGCAAACTCAGCTACAGCTAAAGGTATGTAAACGTACATTTCTTACAATCATTCAAACAAATTTAATTTCAAATTGAAACCACATTTCTTCCAAAATAACTTATAATCGCACACACGGAAGAACCAAAAAGATTGAAAAATCATGATACTTTTTTCTTTCGTCTGTCGATTTTAGAACTGGTTCCGAACTATAGAATTTAGGCCTAGTTCGGAACTATTGAAAAAGTGAAGCAGAGGGGGCAATTGACACTTCCTGGCCATGTTAAATTCGCCAGTTGCTTGCATGCAAAAGAGATTTATCGCGAACCAGTACTGGGTCTAAATGTACTAGAAGCGCACCAGTTCAGAACTAGAGATTTTCCCCACAGGGAAGCCTCAACTGTCCCGTTCTGCAGCCGTTTTGCACCAGTTCAGAGATAGTTCTGAAATATGTAGTTCGGATCTAGCGCTTTGTCAGACTGTCTCTAAATTTTACTGCAGGGCGCATTTACATATGTATGTGTGTGTGTGTGTACGTTGGTGCACATGCATGTTTTTAGTTGCAATGTTTTTCTTGTCTAGTTATTTGGATGTACATATGTACATATGTACTATGTATGTCTGTTGTGATCTATTTGCACATGTGCATCAAAAGAAGCCAAGCGACTCAAGTGCGGCTATCGTTGGGTATATGATTTTGGCTATACATTTATGTGGACAACATAACATGTCAAGTGCGTGTGCCTAAGGAAAACAATTGTAACGGATCAAGGTCCATATTTTATGACCTGTGACGTTTTTATCGATAAACACTTAGGTGCACTCACAATGTGCATACCACATGTGTATAAGTATGCTTTTACGTGTGTATGTGTATATATATTTATCTTTGTGCAGCTAGTGCACGTACTTAGTAACGCAGTATATTACTTGCATAGCTGCAATTATTGTTGTTGAAGGAAAATGGAAATAGTCAGTAATATTTAGTTTTATAAAACTAAACAGAGGGATCTTTTTGTGTTTTCTACCGAGATTCTTTAATGTGTAGGCGCGTTTTCATGAGATGCTAAATTAGCGAATACGGAAATTGACAGCTGCATGCGATTTTTAGGCAAGAAAAATCTGTCACAAGTGTCAATTGATAAAATCTCGCATTCAATTTGCAGCCAAACTCACTGATATATATATTTGTACATACATATCTACATACACGCATACAGTTTATTATAGTTTTTAATTATTATAAACAGCCTGACAGAATAAAATATATACACCACTACATATAAAGATGGTTCAGTAATTTACGTACTTTGCTAAAGTTGAAGAAATAAGAAAAATTTAATTAGTATACCCATAACACAAGCATTCAGAAAATAATTTTAGGCGCATTTGTTTTAATACAAGCACAATCTGAAATGTTTGTCAGAAGTGATGTGCTGAGTCGATACTTTTAAGTATTGATCGATATTCGGTACCGATTTAAAAAGTGTCCCATACTTTCGATACTCGATATCGAAATGTTGCAATCTCTAACAAGAGCCCACAACAGCCAAAAAAAAAGCAGTTCAGAGGAACCTCGCCGTGAATAATGTAGGGACTAATGGAGGTTTTAACGCCGTGTACAACTATAATTGTATACACGTTTTCGGTATAGGTTATATGGCAGATATACAATAAAATATCGGTATGGGGGTTTCTCTAAAGCTTCATAAATTTAAATTTCCCGAAATTCCAATAATATACCAACCGGAAGTCTACTTTAAAAAGTACGTAACACATTTATCATACATCATTTATAGTCACATATGTATGTATGTATAGCAGTGATTCCCAAAGTGGTCCAGGTGGACCCCCAGGGGTCCACGGGACACTCGACGGGGGCCTACGTTGGCGTGAAAAAAATATGGGGATCCATGAGTTGTAAGTAGGGGTCCACGAAAATTTATCTGGTTTCGATAGTAAAAAACCAATATGGATGTTTGGTAGCCTCTTATTTAACTTTAATTTTTTGAGTGTTTTCACGAAACCTGTTAACCTTCTCAATTACATCGACAACCTATTTTCTTTACCGGTATAATTTTGCCACCAGCAGAACTACCCACCCGGGCACAGGCCGTTTCGCTGCCCCTGCAACATTACCTTTGTTGAAGAGATTCTATAATGTTGAGTTCCCTAAGACTGAATGCTGGTTTAATTCCATCACTGAGACCGTACTCACACATTGTGGAATCTGCACTGATGGCTCCAAAACTTACTCTGGGTCATGATCTGGGGTGTATTTCGAAGTTAATGGATATAAGCTTCACTTTTCTGTTGTGGAATATGCGTTGGTCTTCCAGGCTGAGGTAATTGCAATCCTCAAAGCCATGGACTACGTGGTTGAACACACGTGGAGGGAAGGAGTTTACGTGCCTGCAGTGAGAACCAAGCAGCACTTAAGGCATTGGTCCCGACTAAATTATGGTGGTAAACATAACGAGCTTGCTTTACTCTCGGTGTCAGGTCACTCAGGATTACCTGGTAATGAGACATCTGACCATTTGGCCCGAATTGGCTCAGACCAGGCATTCCTCGGTCCACAACCATTTTTAGCACACCCACTTTCGGCCATCGAAGCAATCTTAAGAAACTGGGTGAATACTTTGCTCAGCAATGACTGGGAGGCATCGAGGCGATGCAGGTGGGCAAAACTCATGTTGCCTTCAGTCTCAGAAGGTCTATCTATTTTTTTGCTCTCGTTTATAGACTACATACAACTTTTGTACTGCTGACTGTTCACTTCACGTGGCACAAACACCTGACTGAGATAGGCGGAAATGAAAAGTCCATTTGCCCATCATGCCTTGAAGATGATGAGACAGTGGAACACTTTTTGGGCTTCTTGCTTGCTTGATTGTTTGTCATAGAATTTTTTTAACGCTAGGGCTCGAAGTGCTCTTAAAAAATATAACTCCTCACATCGATAGAGTATTTTTAGGGATTTACGAGCTCTATTTTTAAACCCTACAAGCGTGTAATCACATTATTTTAATAAATAGAAATAAAAAATAATAGAAAGAAAATATTTTAGTTTTATTTTGATCACTCCGAGTTTAGTTTTTGATTTCACCCGCGATGCGAATTTACATAGTTGGATCTAATCTTCACATTTCATTTTTTTACGAGCTTTGGAAATATTTAGAAATGTTACAGCAGGGGGTCCACCGAAACCAGTAAATTTTTGAAAAGGGTCTACGAGAAAAAAAGTTTGAGAACCTGTGATGTATAGGGTCAGTTTTTCTATAAAGCTTTCCTACAAAAAATGAACTCATAGTTTATAATTAAAAATAATAGATATCTTATAATATTATGCACATATAAAACAGGCATGGTTGAATTTTTGTAAATCTTTTTTAATTTTTCTTAAAAAAAATAAGTTTCTCCACATCATCATTTGAATCTGAATGCTTTCGTCGCTCGATTAACATCTGCCCCTTGTTTGAAAGTTTGAAAGTTCGATTGGAACGGTCATCGCCACAAAGTAAATCGTAATACATCCTTTGATATGAGGTTACCATAAATATTACAAATAAATAGTGTTGACTCAAGAACTAACTATTGGTTGCTATACTTATTCGCCGCCCACATTAT